AGTAATTTGGCCAAACGGAAGGATACCATAGTATGAATTCATAAAGGAGTTGGTATGAAGTGTACGAAATGTATAGAAATTGCACTTACCTTCTTTCAGTCTTGGCAAGCAGCTTGCAGCAAAAACAACGATTAAAACTTTATATAGCTTAAAGCTGAATAACAGCTGCTTATGCAGCTTATTTGCTAAATAAAAGCTTCTTTCACAATTGTGTAGAAACTCAAGATAAAAATAATCCGTTTTTAGGTTTTGCTGGATAAGTCACACAAAATTCTTAATCCTAAAAATCATAGAGATGTCGTATATTACTAATACTTTATTACAAACCTTTTCTTTTTGAATGTTACAATACAATTTGTTTCATCCACATAATACAAAATGCCCGATCCTAACTCTCGTATGTACATAACTTGGTAACGATTAATATTATTATTACTTTAAATAATTATTAACCTAACACAATTTGTAACTGAAAGTCTTTGCTATACCAAAATTAACTAACAAAATAAAATATACATTTTTGGTACAAAAGAACTTCCATAAAACCTAAAATACCTTAGTTAAAGCTATGAATCTCTAAAAGTATGACTAAAAGGAGTTGTTGAGATGATGCTATGTACAACAATATGCCTGAGTGATTACGTATATAGAAATAAGTTATTTTAGGCACTGAGTGTCTCTACTGAAGGTAGCGCTAAGAACATTGCAAGCTTGTCTTCTTCAGACTCAGTGAAGCGTGTAGAACTAATTATAATTTACTTTTTATCAGTCGATCAGAGTATGTATATGGCCAGGTGAACCAGGTTCAAAGGAACCGCTTTCTTAAGGATATCTTATTAGGTTTCCCCATTAGTCTGTGGTGCTGCTGTTGATAATTTTCTAGGTACAAATGCTGGGCGGAAGGCAGGCCTGATAGGTTTTACATACAATTTTCTTTCGGTTGTCGTTCTTGGAGCTTCAGTTGTAAAGGTTTTGGCGACTTTTGTGGTTGCCTTTTTTCTTATGTCTACTGGGACGTTCTGTGCCCGTGGCGCAGTGAACCGGGATTTGCTTGGACTGAATCCTGTCGTTTTGTTCGCTTTTTGGTTCGAATTCGAGACAACTGTAGCGTTGAGCTTTTTGAGAGCCTTAGGTGCTGGCCTGGTGAAGTTAGAAGACTTTATGATCGCTCTTCTTGGGAATGCGAATTTGGATCGTTTAGCATCAACTGGGGATATCTTTTGAGTGGTAGTTTCATCGGGAATCGTTTCAGTCGTCGATGGAATGTCGGTTGTGGTCGTTTGAGCTTCGGTAGTTATAGTTGTCGCTTGGGTAGTGGTCAAAAGATCCATGACTGGGCCCATTGTCACACTGTCCGTAGATAATGTTGCTGTAGCAGTTGTTTCAGTTGTGACTTCTGATGTTAGTGGAATGACTGAAATGTTAACAGGATATTTGATAGTCGCCTCTTCAACCATAGGCGCTCCTTGGAATTCTTGGCCTTTAGCGAATGTTACAATGCTTCGACCAGCTTCAGGTTTTATTACTTCTAGCTTGACGATGTTAGCATCCTCGTTTTGGGTGGGTACTGATGCAGAGTATACTAGGAATGGTTGGTTTTCTTTATTATCGCTAATTTTTCTTGCCATTAGAGGAGTTTCGGTTTTAAATAGAGCTTCTAAAGGTAATGTCGATGGTTTTGTTTGCACACTTCGTGGCGTTACCAATTCTAAGCTCTTTGCAGTTTTTTGTTGAGTTACTTTCTCATTTTCATAAGCTGCTGGTACGAACTGCCATTCAGGAGTATAGGAATCGGGCACTTCTGTAGACTTGTCAGCTTTTTTGTCATCGTTGATGTAACTTAAGAAATCATCACTTAGAAGATGTTCTACGTGATCCTTGCTTTCATCATCCTTTTTGTTTGTATTTTTTATATGTCTGTATGCTTCATTTATGCTCTCAGAAGCCACTAAATTTTCACGTGGAGCATCGGCGAAGTTAGTCAAAGCTCTAGCGTTTCTAGCTTCGTCAATAACAATCAAGTTTTCAGGAGGATTCTCTACAGGATAAACGTGGCCGAGTTTTGTAAGGTACAGTGGGATTTCATCTTCAACAATCTTAATAAGACTAAATCGACTGACTTCACCGATTTTATCTACCATTGGTTTCTTCTCAACCATAATTTTACCTTCCTCTATAAGAGTAGTTTCATTGTTTTTATTGAGACGGTGTTTGTCTAATTTAGAGGAAACTTCAACGACTCTACTAACAGAGAATAATTTATCAAATTGTGTTTTTACTATTGGTGATACTTGTGGTGCATTTGAAGTAGTCTCTGGTAAAGATTCTGTGGTGATTTCCGTATTTTGTTCGGTTTTGATATCAAAAGGCGTATTATTTTCAGTTTCAGTTTGAGCGCTTGTTGAATCTTGAGTGCTGGGGTAGTTGGTAGTACCTTCAGTATATTCTAAGTAATCGTCAGTACTAATTTCCATTTCAGTGGTAGTCTCGTTATCTTCAATGGTGTTAGTGGCCGTCGCATCTTCAGAAGTATTTGTGGTATCAGATAACGTTGAAGTGGATTCGGTCATAGAGAGATAATCGTCATCATCGGCATTAGTCATAAACTCTGAGTCCGTAGTTGTGCTTTGAACATCATCATCCTTGTTTCGTGTTGTTGTAGAAGCTTCGGTCTTTTGTGACCCAATGCCTGGTTTAGAGCTTGCACCAACTGGCACGTTATACCCAAGAGGCACATTTTGAACTCGCTTTTTAGTATCATTGACGGGTTTGTTACCTCCGAATCTATTGAATATTGCCGTACGGTTTGCTCCGAATTGACGCTTAGGTAATTCGGTGGTTGTTGAAGCTGCCCTGAAAGTGTTGGAGTTAACAACTCTGGGTTTGAAACCTGGTCTTTTAGTTGTGGGCACAAACCTGCTCGGTGGTTCTTCCTCTTCGAGAGGTTCATCTTCAGGTTCTTCTTCCGATTCAACATCATAGTCCTCCTCAACATCTTGCTCATTCTGAACATCAGGTTTGCGGGTAAATAATTGGTTTTGTGGTACAAAAACGAAGGGATTTTCTGGCTCTTCGTCCAGTATTTCCTCATCTGAATACTCCTCTTCTTCTATTTTCTTAGTAGTTCTGGCGGTAGTAAATGGTCTTCTTGTGAATTTTGATGTGAATAGAGGTCGTCTAGTAGCCGCAGGTCTGAAAGAATCTGGTTTATCAGCGGAAGCAGGACTAGTGTAGACTCCAGGGTTGTATTTACGGCTGAAAACCCTGCTACTTGAGGGTACAGAGGACTCAGTCGTCGAAGTAAATAGTCGTTTTGGAGGCCTGTAGGGCAATCTAGCTCGAGTAGGTGCTGATGTTGCCTGGGTAGTACTTACTGTAGTTGTTTCAGGTTGAGATTCTTTTGCTTCGGTTACAGGTGGTTCAGAAGCCTCATTCTCTTGATTCTCTGACAGGTCCAAAGTTTTTTGTTCACCCTCAATTACTACTTCAGGTTTTGACTCTGTTTCGTCATTTTGGGCTGTTACTTCAGTCGGTACAACTTCACTCTCCGTAGGCTTAACTTCATTTTCAGTTACGAGCTCAGATTTTTCCTCCTTATTTGCATTTTTGTCACTTGGTTCTAAGATTTCATCTTTATCATCATTTTCGCTTTCTTTAACGACTTCTTTCTGTACCTCAAACGTGTCTTTGAATTTGACTAATTCTTCTTCATCAGTTGCAATCGTTGTTGGAGCTTCAGATGAAGACGGCAAGAAGGTGGTTCTAGTCTTTTCACCATAGTTACTTACCTGCTCTGTTGTCGAACTGACCTTGGCTTCAGTGTTGAGAGAACCTACTGATTTTGCAATAATTGAAGGTTCTTCTTCAACAGGTTTGATTTTCTTACGGATGATTCTACGTATTTTTGGAACTACTTGAGTAGAGGCTTCAGTAGAAGGAACGCTTGGCTCTGGTGCCTCCGTAGTGGAAGTGGAAGAAGGTCGTCGTCTTATGACTCTAAATTTCTTCTTGCCAGATTCTTCCAATTGAATAGGAATTGTTTCAGTAGAAATAACGTCTTCTGGAGCAGTGGTAGAAGGCCTTATCTTTTTTATTACCACACGCCGTTTTGGTATATCTTGTACTTCTTCGTTATCTTCTTCATGTTCTTTCTCCTCTATGGCACTTTCTGATAGAGAAATGTCATCATTTTTCTCTTCTACGTCATCTTCGACTTCTTCTTCGTTAGTCAAAGTTTGTACAGTTGTGGACTGGCGTGAAGGGAATGGCAATTTGCGAGGCTGGATGAGAGGGGAACTGGTGGAAGATGGTCTACTTCTACCGAAAGGCAAACGAATAGGAGCCCTGGTTGTAGCTACTGGTTCATCATTATCTAAATTATCGTCACTGGTTGTAGACGTGGTACTACTTCTTGTGAAGGGACGGGGTTGGAACCTGGTGAAAGCTGGTCGTCTCTGAATTGGTGCCGCTTCAGTTGCCTCAGACAGTTCATTAGCCGGAGGCTGTGTGCTAATTGTAAACCTACTACGTCCCCTAGGCAAGATGTTAGGTCGCCTAACATCAACAGTCGCGGCAGAAACCTCACTATCTTCAACCTTATCAGCTGCCGTAGTCGATGTCCTACCACGGAATCGCCTTTCGGTTCTGGAAGCGGCGTTTTCTCTAGGCACAAATCTGGGAGCTTCAACTATTTCTTCATTTACTATTGGCGTCAACGACGAGGCTATCTCGTCCCGGGTCAACTGCGGTCTGAAGCTTCCTCGAGTGACTGGCGATGCTGCAGCAGGCTCTGAGTCTTCTGTTTGCGGGGTAACTCTGATCCTATTCCTTCTGAACTGGCTCGTTTCTACAGTCCTAACACCGTTGACTTCCCGACTGTCTGGAGTTGTTGATCTTATTTTACGGGACAATTCATCTGCTTCAACTGAGTCTGAAGATATTTCGTTTGGTCGAGACAGAGGTCGACGGCGCCTTACAAATGAATAGTTCCTAGTACTCACCTGTGTGGACGTGGATGGCGCTGGCGTGGTGGTGGTGGTTGAGGTGGAGCCTCGTCTGCGAAGAACTGTGCGCCGGGTTGGTGCGCTAGAGGGCGCTGAAGTCGTAGTAGTAGTAGGTCTTGAAGTCGTGGTCGTTGTAGTCGTAGCAGCTTCCGTAATCTCTTCATCGGCAGGAGAAGTTTCCAGTTCATCTTCAGCTGAACTGGGCGAGTTTAGTAGGGAAGATATTTGGACGGCAAGTATAGTGGTAGGTTCAGGACTGCTCGGTTCTTCGATGGTAGCTTCAGTAGTGGAGCGTACTCTCACGATTGACGTGTACTGAGGCTGAGTCGAGATTTCTCTTTCAAGCGCAGTGTTCTGAGTTTCTACCTCTTGCTGAGTATTCTCGTACCTGGAAAATAAATAGCGTTTTCTGTGAGTATAACTTTATTATAAGAAATATTTCTATTTAAAATTCACCAAAAACTTTACTTACTGTGCAGTGGTAGTTTCTTCTGTTGTCGGTCTTTGCCTTCTAATAGTGACATACTCAGGTACATTTTCTCGTCTCGCGCTCAGGATATCCAGTGTGTTTGGTGTCTCGGAAACCGAGACATAATTCTCTACTCGTTCAAACAGTGCGTTTCTGAAATGGATAGGTGATTAGTTAAAATTTACACTAACGTTTGTAGACATTTTAAGAATACTTGAGGCTTTGTATTCAAATTCGAGTCTTAGTTACCTTGAAGCAGTATCATCAGCGGTGTCGGAAGTTGATGTTGTTGTAGGCCTCGCTCGACGGATATTAACATATTGAAGCGGCTTCGCAGAAGTTTTCACATATATGTCTTCCTCCACTGTACGGGCTCGAGACAGCTGCTGTGGTGGCTCTTCGATTTCATCTTCGCTCTCGTCACTGTCCTCTTGAGGCTCTGGGGCTGCTGTTGTTGGTGGCCGCGACCGGTTGATTGTTGTATATCTGGACGATATAATAGTTTATATAAAATACTTACGAGTATTTGCTCACAACTGTTACACTACAAATGCTAAATAAATGTATTAGCTGAATGATGGATGGGAACAAATAACTTACTGTGGACGATCTTTTCTCAATAGCTTATCTTTGTCGGCTGTCGGTTCCAAACCAGCATTCTGAGGTCCTCTTCGGCTGTTTTGGGCTGTTCCAGAATCGGATATACTGTTGCTACCAAACCTGAAAAAAAATATTACTAAATTAGTAAAAACTTTTACAAGCGACATTTTACATAGCGTCATTTCATCTTAAAGTTCATCCATCGTGGATTTTATGTTCATGATCATATTAAAAATTAGCCTCGTTTCAAATTCGACTCTTCATCTGCTGGTTTCGTGTAATGAGGTTCAAATACCTATTAGGTGTATAAAATAGCTAAAGATACTCACTTGCTCTTGCCCCTCGTTCTCTCTAAGACTTTCTGGTAGAGCTTCTTGTTGAAGGAGGATGGCGTGGTGGTGATCGCACCGTCGGTACTGGCGGACGTCTCTCCGAAATGTAAGTGCTTCTCTAGTTGTTCCACTCCACCTGAGAAGAAATTATTGCTATGTAGAAATTAAATAGTTATAAAGTGATGGAATAATTTATGTGTAGGGATTAAATATGAACTGAATCCTACAGGTAATTTTATTACAGTAAAACTCGTTGCAGTGATATCCAAACTTCTATTGTTGACTTCATAAAAATTCGAAGCTTTTTGTTTACCCTGAATCGAGCATATCAAGGTCAAAAACATGATGGAAACTATTATTCCCATTGCCTTATCAAAGGTTAATGTTGATGGGAAAAGTTATGCTTTGTATCTAGCATAAGAGAATAAGGAATACTCACCAACTTTCTTAATCAAGTCAATCAACTCCTTGATAACCCTCGGGTCTTCAGCCTCAATGTCAGCGTTATCTTCTGCGACATCTTCTTCGTATTCTTCTTCACTCTGAAAATAAAGAATATTACATATTTTGCTTAAAAATGTCCAAAAATGAATAAGTTGCTTAGAAGGCTGGAGGAAGATGAAAGTTCCCTTCTTTTTAAACTAACAGAAAGGTATAGTGTTTTCATATTTTTTGCAACAGAAGCTTTACCGAAATGACAATTATTTTAAATTCTTATTTCTTGTCAGTTTCAAAGCTAAATGTTTCGTAAACTGTTTTCCTGATTTTGCTCAACTAATTAGCTTGACATTGGCGAAACAAGTGAGCTTCAAATTAACGCTATTAAAAAAGAAAAAAATGTTCCAATTACCTCAGGCTCAGGAGTAGTAGTGGTCGTGGTAGTAGTCCTGAACAGGAGCGAGTTCCTGGTACTAAGCTTGATGGGTTTCCTCGTGGTGGAGGGGGCGGCTGTGGTGGTGGTGGTGGACGGGGCCTTGGTGGCGGGTGCCTTGGTGGTGGCCGCTGGCTTCTTGCAGAGCACGTTGCGGGCGAAGTCGCACGAGTCGGCGGCCTTGTTGAAGAATAGACCTGGGACACAATTTAATTATTGAAATTGGGTTTTATAATGCCATTTGATAGCCAAAGACAGATTTTAGTATGGTACATACCACATGTGGTTAACTTGCCATTTGACAGCCAACGACGGAATATGGTGTGGTGTATGTGGTATAATGATAATAGTGGATTCTTTAGAAGGAATTGGTTACAGTTCTCCGTACAGGTATTTAAGTAACTAGGTAGGTACTTAGTAATATCATGATATTATTCATAAATTTCGAATTTAGTTGTTGTTAACTCCCTTTTCAGGACACAAATGCCCGTTTTCACCATCAATCCCTAACTTTTAAGTGACCCCTATGAAAACAAAATTCCTGTTATGTGTTAACATAGGGGTCGCTTAAAAATTAGGGATTGATGGTGAAAACGGGCAAAAGTCTCTTAACAGATCAATGTAATCCACTCGTATATTTAGTTGGCGAAAAGTTGACCCTATTCGAATATGCCATACAAAATCAATGTAATGGACGCATCGCGTTGTGAACGCTCATGTAAAAAGTATGTCAATTGACTAGTGTTTTGGTAGCTCATAGAAATGTAGGTACTGAAGTTATAATGGCATAAAATAAATGGTTTTCTTACCAGAAGGGCAAGTGAACTGATGGGCCACGATGCCTAGGTTCGAGGGTCCGGAGTCCAAACACCAGAAGTACTTCTTGCAGTCGCGCGGGTGTTGGAAGAAACCTTCGTCTGTGCACTTGAAGTCTGGAAAAAAATATATTTTTGTTAATTTGCTGAACATTATTAGTGTATTTTAGTATTAGATTTTGGTTATGTACCCTTTGGACCCATAATAAATATGAATCCGTAAAAATATAAATCTAGAAAATAAATTACTGATTTGTCGAATCTTGTCTCGACGAACTCGGATTTATCATAAAATACCGTATGCTCGTTGCGTCCTGTCCATAAAAAAAAACTAAAAAATTCTACGGCTTCCAGACCGTATTTTCACGGACTCGGATCGCATTTGAAACGAATTTAACTAGTGTGAAACAGCTCTTAGTTTTGGCTTTTAGGACCTCAAAAGTATTCGTACCTGCTCCAGGATCGGGCGTGGTGGGCGGCTCAGGGGTGGCGATGTTCCAGGTGGGTGTCGTGCTCACAACACTTGGTGAGGGCTTGCGTTTGCTGCTCTTGGTCCTGGAAACAAAAAATAATTAGTGTTTATTTAGAGCCTCAGCAACCGATAAAGAACTTAGGCATCATTATTGGTATAGAAGGATATTTTACAAAAAAGATAGTAACCTGTGTAAGCGCATCATATTGTCACAATGATAATAATAATATGTAGAGATTACACTTTATAAAAGCCTTTTCCTAGATGCAATTTGGTGCTACATTATGTAATTTGTTGCTAGGATAAGGCTTTTTTGTAAAGTGTATAAACACGTTGTGTACCTACCAAAATTTGTCTAAATTGATCCACTGATTGACTGAGGTAGTCGAAGATGGGTAAGAAATTTAGGTATTCAGATTTAGCAATTCAACGAAGCTAGTGCAGCAGTAAATCGTATCTGACAGAAAATCAGATTACGTGTTATTTCAACCAGCGAACGGCTGCTAAATTGTATCACCTTAATATTTCGTTCGTATTCATACGAGTATTATCAATATACCCGACTTTCCCCTACACCGACTATAGTCTGGTCTGCGAGCACGTAGAATTTTGTCCAATGACCTCAAGCTACCCATCCTTATCGCTCGCGCGTAATTATGTTGCTGTCGCGCTCGCACACTCACTGCGGGCGCCCGTCGCACAGTCGCGTCAGCAATATAATTACGCGCGAGCGATAAGAATGGGTAGGTCATTGGACAAAATTCTACGTGCTCACAGACCAGGCTTTATTATTGTCATAAGCAGTTTAGATACCTGGAAGAAGAAGGTCTGGCGGTGGTGGTGGTGGTGGTGCTGGTGACGCGAGGCCGGTTCCTCCTTCTGCTGCTGGCGCGAGTGACCGACTGCGGGCGGTCCGTCACGATGGAGTTGTCCGTCGCACTGTAAAAGATACCTTAATTAGTAAATATTGAGGTTCACCATCGTTTGTCGGTTACGTTTCAAGAGACGTCTACTGCTGGACCAAGGTAATCCTCAAGAATTTCCACAGCGAATTATCCTGCGTTGCCCATTTCTAGGTGTTTCCTCAACTTTCACGCCCGTATTTACAAACATTACTATGAGGTCTCACAGTGCGCGTGGACGCACAGGGTGACACACGAACCTATCACTTAGCTCTATTCAATGCTTCTACATTACGCATGCTCTTGATAACAATCTCACTCTCAGAGGAGTGTAGATGCAATTTATGGTGGAGCGAGCTTTCCCAGAAATTGTCTATTGTGCTAGGCTAGGCTCTAGGTCTGGTTCAGACACAGCGATAGTTGCGCGGTGCTGGGCTGGTTCTTAGAGGTTGGTTGATGTACAGTCGCGGAATGAAAAGGTTCGTCACCTTAGTGTCGGTTTTCGCTTGCACTAGGTACTGTAAGAGTCAAAGCTGCCAACATAACCGTGCAAGAAACAGTGCTGCTAACATTTAAATAAATATGACGTTTGCTAACGAATAAGGTTTTGCTTGTTTATTTTTCTATCCCATCAGTGCAATGTTACAAAATGTAGTTTTTTTTATTTAATAGATAATGGCAGGTTGAACCAACAAGAAGGTTTTAGTTTATCAATCATAATAATCTTCTTGACAAGTTAAATCGTCAAACAACTTTTATCTGAATAATTATGAACTTTACTGACGAACAGTTAAAGATTATTTTCTCCAACTCGAGATTATTCTGTAACATAGTTTCAAAAGGTAATATGTGCTCGTGATTCGTTGAAGGAATCAATTTGAAAACTGACGAACCTTTTCATTCCGTGACTGTACTACTTACCCAAGTTTAACAATGTACGCCTCCTTCGCAGCTTCGATGAGCGGGTAGGGCTTGTCGTGGCAGTTGCCGCGGAAATCGTCGTTGTCGATCGACCAGAACATAATACCTGTGAAAGACATAAAATATGTTAATAAGGATAGGTAGTAAAAATATACGCATATTAGCTAAATTAAGTGAAATAAATGGGACAGATTTTAGCAATAACTTGCAAAACGTCAACATTGCTGTTTTAAACACTTTTGACAGATATCCTGTACAAAAATCCTCCTCATTCGATTCATCCTTTTAGGCTTTTTAAATACTTTTTTCTATTGGCTTTATACATCACAACATCTGAACGTTTTTGTGTACAAAAAGATGATGAGAAACAAATGTATTTAATTAAGGTGTGAGAACTCCTAGTAGTATGACTAACGTAAGACAGATTGAAATCTTACCTCCAAGTCCATTCTCAGCGACATACTCGGCCTTCTTCTTCACAATATCGATGTCATCATAGCCGACCCACTGGTTGCCCTTGTAGGCCACGGGGCCCATGGCTTTGGGGTTCGGGTGCATCACAGTCCAGTCCTCCTCCTCTTCATCCGAATATTCCTCAGATTCCTCGTCAGATGTGCTCCGCTTTTTGTTCGGTTTAGACTTGAGGGCTTCGCAGATCTGTAAAACCAGTGTAAACAGGTAACCTTGTTAGTCAGTTCTAGATGGAATTTAACACAACAAATGCAGATAATGTTATCACAAAAATTTCACATTGCGATTTGCTAGGACGTTTTGACGGACGGGTACTAGTTAAATTAGTAAAAACAGTTGTAACATATTTCAAAGTATCCTAAATCCAGAAATCCTTGGCACCTTTTTTTTTCATAATATTCATCTTGTTGATGCTAGCACTAAGGATTCCCACTTGCAAATGGAAATACAACGTGCTACTTCTTATGTTTAGAATAGAATAGAATTTTATTTATTGATATAATTTCTGTGTACAGTTTGCAAGTTTAGTGTATTTTATAGGCATACAATTCTCTAATTCTTATTACTTCAAGGTACGTGAAATCTTTTTGGGCAAACTTTTCGGATTAAACTATCAAGAGTCATCCTATTCATTATAAATTAACTCACCTCGTAATAAGCCAAGTATCCCTTCTCCCTAGTGGCGTCTCCTTGCTCTCCCGGGCCGTCAGCGGGCGCTCCAATCTCCACAGCATCAGGGTTGAATAGCGTGTACGACCGTCCATAAGTCGGGATGCCAAGCACCAACTTGTCGCGGTCCGCTCCGTTCTCGAGGTAGAATTTGATTGTGTAGTCCTGAAATTAGAGAATAGTGGTTTAGGAAAAGTGTTTTTGTATTTCGTGGACTGAAATTATTTATTTATGAGTTTGAATACCTTACACAAAAGACAATGTGATTATTCCCACGTTTGCGTTGCTACAATAATTCTTAGGACAGTAGGTCCTTAGAAAACGGGACCGCTAGGTAATAAACATTCGAAGTACTTAATATTTGAAGTCACGTATCAAATAGTAGCAGAAAGATATTGGTTATAGTTTTAAACGTTCATGGTCATTAATATTAGAATAATTATTATTAACGGGATTGCTAACATGTACCTTATTTACGAGCCTCCGATATTTCGGCACTGTTGCAAGCGCCTTGATCACGGAATAACTGAAGATCTAACGGGTGAGATGTTATTTTCAGATATATCGGTCTACCCTCTTTCGCAGTCTTTTATTACGATCACGTCTGGTACCACTGTTCACCAACTCACTATTTTCTCGCAACTGTTCTCGACACACTCACACAACACTAACTATGGTAGCAATCCCGTTAGTAATAGTAATTATTCTAAAAATATTGAATTTGGGTATTTTCTAAACATTTAATACCGCTATTGGTCCAGGGGTACTGATGCTTACATTCAATTTCTAAAATAAGGTGCTTAAAAAGTAAGGTGCGGCATTGGCCCTTATTTTCTTCTTTAAGAAATTCAGACTACTCGCATTGCATTTCACTCGTATTTACAGTGTACTAGCGGCCGCCTGCGACTTCGTACGCGTGGATTCCGTTTTACTTCCTTTAAGTTTAATTTTGCAAAATCCCGTCTTAGTGAGCGCCTATGTTCTAAAAGAAACCCCCATGCAAAATTTGGGACTCCTAGCACTTGTAGTTTCCGAGATTTCGTGATGAGTGAGCGAGTCAGTCAGTCAGTGACCTAGGTAGATAGATACTCACGATGTTAAGCTCGTTATCAACGCTGTACTCATTGGGCTCCTCGAGCGGGTAGAGCGGCGCGTGGTGGTTGACTGCCGGTTCAAAGGCCGAGTGGTAGTCGTACGTCAGCAGGTTCATCCAGTCCAGGTATCTGAGGAGAAAGAGAGGAATTCCTTAATTTATGGCTCAGTATAGAGCAGTGTTTTTCAACATTTTTCATGACACGACCCCCCTAGTATGAAAAAATATTTTGCGACCCCCCGACCGTTCGCTTTTTTTTCGTGCGTTTTTAAGGTTTCATGGATGTTGTAGGAACCGAATTTTTCAATCCCTACAACATTTATGCATTTACATAATTAGTTTTCTTATAAATTTATCTTTAAAACTTTACTGAGGTAGTTTTTACGACCTCTCGCGACCCCCCTATAGGGGCTTCGCAAACCCCCAGGGGGTCGCGACCCACAAGTTGAAAAACACTGGTATAGAGTATAGATCCTGTCCACGAAGATGCGCCCCACCAATTTGTGGTCGAGGGAAGCGTGTGGCGCGGGGAGTTTGATCCGAGCAATCCGAGCGTCATTATTGTAGGCGTGTACCGATTACACTGAAACATTAGCGGAAGAATGGTGGGGCGCGTCTTCGTGGATGACACGGTCTGTAGCAGGAGGAAGAAAATATTTAAAAATTCAATCCAGCGACTTCGCCCGTGGACCAAGCTGAAGTTACATATAAAAATGGTTTTCGTTCAATAGCAGTTGTTTTGTTCTTTCTACCTGCGCTAAGCTAAGGAACTTGCATGAGTTTTTAAGAAATATGGCCTATCTTGATAAATCAATAAAAAAGATTCCTAGACAAGCCCTGTCCCATCTCTATCTTAGATAGAAAGTCCCCTTTGTAAGTTTATTATTTCACACAATTTTATACCACGCCTTAGATTCTAAAATTATCAAATCAAATAGTTTATTCAGTACATAGACTCTTTCCAATAGGCCTAAGATGCGCGCAGCGATAAGCGGTTATCACGCCACTTTATCGATTTTGCCCATACATTTTGACGTCAATAAAAGTTATCACGGCGCGCATCTTAGGCCTACAGGTCACTTAGTTATACACGTCTCAAATAGTTATAGCTTGCCCTAACACCACTTCGGGACAACATATGGGTTGGTGCTGAGTTTCTATTTATTTATCTATGCCATATATTTGGTACATAAGGCGTACTTAATGCCATTGGCCATTCTCTGCCAGTTAACCAATTAGATTCTACACTACAATATTCGTAAAAATTGGTTATGTAACACTAAAAACGTTACATACAGATTTTTACCTTCATATTTATTTAATTAAAAATTTAACATGTAGAGGAAAGTTGGAGTTTCATACTTTCCTCATATAAGTTATAATGAAAATGAAAATACGGGCATAGAATGGGAGAGAGTGGTAAAACTAAGTAGCATAATTAAAGTGTTTTATTACTTCATTATTTTATTATTACACTAAAAATACTTAAATCTGTCGTATATCAACAACTTTTTATTATTAAGTCACGTATAATAGTTTTTATAAATATTAATGGTATCTTTACACAGATTAGCATATATTTTCGCTTCGTAACATCGTTATTCGTTATATAATATGAAAAGAATCCGCTTCGAGCCTACGTCCATATTTATTTGATGTTCGCGAAACATATTATTTTAATGTTACTGTATTTTAATAATGTAGGAAGATCCGCGTGGGTTGATATTTGCATTTAGCGTATCGTTTGTGTATAATTTGTTATTTTTAACAAGCAGTGGACCAAGGAACAGTAGACATAATGTATTCTGTGGCAAAGGTCAAGGAGTGAGGCTAATAATCCGGTATAGTGTTTAAACAGGTTTTTTTATCTACGCATCTGTAGATAGAGAGCGGAGTGTCCATTAGAAGTCCTGGGTATTTCCAAGTAAATTATAAAGTCAGTTTGAGTAATACCTAATGTTTCCCGTCGATTCTTTAGGGCACTAAGCAATCTTTTAGCCAATATACCTAATTGAAAAGACATGTCTGTAACATTAGGCGGTTCGTAAAAGCTCAGTTCGTACCTAACCTCAGCGTTCAGAACCTGTTTGATTAAAGAAAATTGAATAGTATCGAATTGACAAACATTTGAACAAACATTTACTGGTTACATAATTCGGTATGGTTTGTATACTTATAAATTACAATGTGTGTGTATTCTTTAAAGAATATGGTTCATGGTGCAACCACAAAAGTGAACATGTTATTTAAACATCACAATAATGTGTCGACTCGCGAGTTTAACCACAACATTATCTCGTCAAGAAGATAATTATGAAATGCGCGATTATCATATTGCGCAAGAGTGGCTAGAACAAAGAGGTTCCGAAATGATCGCAAACAGAGCGGATAAGCAGATTGAAACATTTGCATTGTTTAGTACTCGTAGGGTGACCATGCTGCACGGATAAATATGATAAGTAGGACTATTAGCAGGTGTGTAACTATTTACGAAGTGACCATGGAGCGCGAAATATTTATGGATTATCCAGTAAGTAGTTAGTAAGCAATTGCTTAATACACAACCTGCTGTTTTATTCTTAGCATCAATGCAATGACAGTCATTTGAAGCTTACTAATGCCGCTAAAACCCTGTTATCAGAGCAGTAAAAAAAACTAAAAGTTGTAGCTTTAAGTCCTACTAAGAACAACTCTCCAATGGCCTCTGGTGATAGACATAGAGAGGGTTGCTTGTGCTTCTGCAATGGAGACTATATTATGATGAGATAAGGATGAGATACAACGCGATGTGATAGATATACGATATAATGATTTTAAGCTATGTAAGGTATTTTGAACGTAGGTGGAACTAGTTGAACTGGTTATGTAGTTAGACAAATTAATACTTAAGTGTGACCTAATAAATAAAGAATTTGATGTAAGGTTGATATAGGAAATTAATAACTACTAAGGCCCAGTTTTAAAATTCGTAGTTAAAATAACCTATAGTCAAATTTGACAGATGTCAAAAATGACAAGTGGTTAAATAACAGAAAAAAAATTTTTGGAACAATGGTTAGCTAGACTTTTCGTATATATTTTAACTATTAGTTTACGTTTTGTTAATATTTAACCATTAATAGCAAAATTTAACAATTAGTTATTTTAACTATGAATCAAAAAACTGGGCATAAGCAAAAATAAAAAAACAATAAATAAGTGACTTGTTCTAAAATGTGTTCAGTTTCTAGGCTGCATTGTAACAGCCTACCTTATATATATAGATTATAGCCTGCAGGGAACTAGCCTAGTCAGTAGCAATATTTTAGCCTATGCAGTCATTGTGTATTCAGTGCAATGGGCTAACGTCCGCCATTGTCTCACATGTAAATGAGCCGATTGTTTACGAAAGGGCCGTAAAATCCGCAAGTGAACTTAGCATTTTAATTTATTGCAAAATCGTATGCTCATTTAATTCATTTACCTTGAATAAAACACATTTAAAATAGAAATTAGAGGTTGTTTGTGTGTTTCTGCAAACTAATTTGCATGGACACCCTTATTTGTAGAACTAAACCTTTGTTGAATAGAATATTAATATATGAGCTTCGGTTTCTGCGATTCTAATTGATTATTTTTATAATTGATGACTTGAGTTGAAAATTAGACTGTCTAGGCCTGTTTCTAGGCACTACTTGAACTCCATATATTTTATTAGTAAATAGGTAGGTAAGTAGGTATGTCATTGGAATTTTCTTTAAAGATATATTTTATTATACCTGACTGAAAATCACAAAAGAGCATAAAAATCCCACTAAAACCTTGATATGTGGCCACTGTAGCTTCAGCAGCAGCATCGTGAATTATGTTTGTTAAAACTATGTTATTATCTCACAACGAGCAGTCAGTTTGTGAAAGAGATTTTAATTAGAAGATTAGAAGAAGAAATCAAGATTTTTAAACCAAAATATTTTAACGTCACAGGGTCTATTGTATCTTTTAGGACGGCGCCACACATTGGGCATTTGGCTCCAGTATAAATATCGGTTTTTGGACATAAACGTAAACGGTTTTTGGACATAAACGTAAGGCCACTAACCGTTCTTCACAACGATTTATTGAATCCAAGACTAATAGACCTAGTGGTAATATACATGTGTGGCGCCGGCTTAAAATAGGTTATTATGTCTGATGCTTCAATTGTTTTTTTAAACATTATTTGTAGTAAATTTTACGAGAAGATTAGCACAAGATGCACCGCGTCTAGATAGCGTGGCGTGCGCGAGTGAGGCGTGCAATGCGCGTGCGCGCTATTTAGGTCATCGCGCCACTGTTTCACTACTACCGCGGTTTGGAGCACATACCATTATACAATATTGCTGGGATTATAACACTATGATGGATGGTAGGTTTCTCTTTTAAATAACAATTTAATTAATAGCAATGCGAAAGTTAAGATCGATGGATTTTTTTATTCCTTCAGGCAAAAACTACTGGACGAATTTTGATGGAAAGTAATTTATTGCTTTTTTAACAAAAGCATGTTAGGTGCATCGAAATATTTGGACGAAATCGTTAGCAGAAAGAAGATAATTAGTTATATTGATAAAATTGACCTAATGGTCAAATTGCAGCTCGTAATTTGACGTCGGTTATATGAAATATCTTTACTCCTGAGTATCGCGTCACTTTTACAGAAGTTTCATAAAATTATAGAGGTTCTGTAAACATCAAGTGTATCATGAAAAGTTCTGAAAATATCATGTTTGTAAGCGAAATCCATTGTAAAGGAATCGATATCACTATAGATAGAGTTCCTAGAACTCGTTGAAGTAATTTATTCAAATACAATATGCCAACTAGAGCGCATTAATACTAGACTATTATTAAGCAGTGTGTCAACTATCAGGTGGTACTGGAAGCAGTTAGCGACTAGTCCAGCACCAACTAGTCGCGACATTCCGATGGGGATCACGGTGACATTGGCCACTTGTTACTTACTAGTTTGTGTGTAGTACAAAAATAATGTAGCGATTTGATCATAGAGATATAGAGAGATGCTAACTAATGCGCTGAGTTCGAAACTCAGTGTGGCATTAGAAATTCACACACACAAAGAAAACAAAATATGTGCTCATTATTCACTGCGTTATCAGTACTCAACGTTCGAATAATCTTTAGTACTACGCAAGCAATGTAAACTGTTTACATTATGAGGTCGCTGCTGTCATCATTGCTGTCACGAGCAATGTGTTCTGTTTTTGGGCATATTGCTGCGATAGACCCCGCTCCCTTGTCACATCTCCCTTTAGTTTCTGTGATCTGTGGATTTGATGAAAGAGGCTGACAAAGGTGACTGACTTTCTTCCGCCACTTCTTCTCAGCACCAGCCCATATGTTGTCCCGGAGGGGTGGTAGGGCAAGCTATATTTGGGACGTGTATAAGCGCCCTGGAAAGGGGTTATGTACTGAATAAACTATTTGATTTGATTTGATGAACACTGGGTTTGCACGTGTTACACGACGGGGAATTTCCTTAGTTACTCGTACACTCAGGTATCAAGAGTTAATAATATGTAATAAAAATTAACATTTAAACTATTTTGTTCTTATCATAATATATTTAATTTCTTTTAATATGGTCTATAAAGTGTTATACCGGTTGTGGACTTGGAATTATCATATTATATTGTTATTAATGATATTTTAATGAGAATAATATTTGTATTACGTATCATTTAAATATTTGTATGGTCTGTAAACAAGTATGTTAATTTTTGTAAATCTAAAACCAATTTTATCTAATTGAACATTGATACGAATTAAATGACAATTAGTTTTAAGCGTGAAATATGTAGCTGTGGTTTATAATGTATAATTAATTAACGAAGGAAGAATAATGCCATCTGACTTTAAATACATATTTAATTTAATTTAGATGACGCAAAATTAATTGACAAAATGAATGCTGATTCATTTAGATCAACTTAAATGATATTTTAATACTATAGATTACCTATTTAATCACTTATTATGATTCATAATTCTTAATTTAAAAGTTATGAAACTGAAACTATACCTACTCAAGTTTGGGGCATTGTTATCAACAACGAGAAGAGTTGATAAATTGAAATTATTAAAATATTATGGAAGCAATAAAGATAATAATTATTATTGACGGGATTGCTACCATATACCTTAATTTCGTGTTTCCTTCCTTTTCTTAGTTTCGAGAAATTAAGGTACATGGTAGCAATCCCGTCAATAATAATTATTATGTTAGTGACCATGAAAGTTTAAAAGCAATAAAGATATTGAGTATTCGTAAATTACGCCCTATTTTTATTATTGGAGTGTATACAATATCCTAGTCAATCATACTTGTCAAAGTTCCAGTTCTAAATCATTTCATGTTCGTGATTTCAAAGATCATCTGTGCGCAATAAAACATTTGAATTTGAATTAAATCAATCGCAATAGTCGCTTCCTTGTACCATTCCAAATAAATGAAGCAACACGACATTGACTTAGTAGATTGGGCAACTAAGATGCTAATACGTCCGATTTCGCAACTCGTGCGCATTCATACGCGTACAGTCACACTCAAGTTTAAGATGCAGTTTTAAGTTCATCAAGAGCAAGACCGCCATGCTCAAAAGTCGATTTAATTTCAGTAGTAGATTAGTACTATATAATTGGCATAAATTAACTGAAAGTTAATTTCAACTAAAAGCCTCTATCTTTGCTTGAGATGATGGATGCAATAAATTATTGAGTATTGAGATTGCATCAAGTTTTGAGTTTTGATGTGTTTAGTTTAACTTATCTTACTTAATTATTTGCAATACTCGTATAAATTGTATCTAAGCTGTAATATAACTTGTAGCTCTAAACTCCTTAAAATTAAAATTAATTACGAGTATATCGATCTTTATAATTTTAAAGCTTAAGTTTTAACCATTTTACCATACTGTACGTGTTAATGACGTTTTCTTTGTTATTTTGTGCATGTCAAAAGAAAATTAATATGGAGCAATAACTCAACTAGGGCCCTTAATTTTATGTATTGTGTCGTGAGAAGAATGTGCTTTGCAAGGCTGTCATCATCACTCGTTGGTTTTACGGTAATTTAGATTCTCATGTAAGTTACAACACTGGTTGTAATAAAACTTGTCCTTAATTTAAAACATTGTTTTAAACAATTCTTGTTGAACGATTTTTGGGGTTTGAACATATCTCGATTCTCGATTCGAGGGATCTGGATTCAATCAGTCCTACATCCACACCATTGGCTATGTCGCTTGAAGTATTTATGTATGTATTTTAGTTAAGACTATACTTTCTGTATCCTTTTGCGGCAGTACCTGATACGAGCAAGCGGAGATTCCTGGTCTCTTCGACGTCATTTCAACGAAATCCTATAATCTTAAAATATAGAGCTTAAATAAATACTTCACTAACATTTCTTGGAATGGCTCAAACTTGGAATGCGAGTGTGGTTGTGTTCCCCAGTCGATGAAGCACATGGTGTCGTGCCCTGTGTGCCCAAACAACTGCATGCAGGAAGATTTAATGAACGCTACTGACAACGCCACTCTTGTAGCGGAGTTTTGGAATGACACTGTATAGGTTTGTTGTCTACACGACAAGAAGAAGAACTAAATACTTACTGGTTAAGAGTCTGCACGTCGAATCCCTTCTGTATGTACTCGATACCAGCCGGCACCGCCATGGTCAACAGCAGACGAGGTTTGCCAGTCTTCTGAGATTCCTTCTCGAACTCCTCACGTAATTCCTTCACGAGCTTGGCGTAGTTCTCCCTGTCTTTCGGCTTGCCTCCGTCGCGGAAGGCTGGGTACTCCCAATCCAGGTCCAGACCGTCGAAGTGGTTCTGCCTGAGGAACTGTGGAAGAGAATGGAATGAGTTAGTTATGGATGATAGCTAAAGATTCTGGTAGAAGGAATAGTTGAGAATCTTTTGGTCGTGTAATACTGACAGTCAGCAATGGTGTGTGGGATTATTGTCTAAATTTATTTTTACTAACAATTTTTTCAGCTACCTACCTACTTATTAAAAAAATATAGTAAACAGTACATCAAACTATACATGTTTTTGTGTAGATATGTCTGTTTCAAAAGTGATATATAATGTTATTGTGTTTAACTTGATATGCTGTTGTTTCTATGATTAACCATGTGAGTGCATGCGGTCTATTTTATGAAATACAAAATCATGTGCCTTTAGTTAAATTATTGAAGAAACAACTACTTACATTAATTAGAGTAGATAAGTGTTTTCATAGAACATATTTCTGTTTTAAGTATCAATATATCAAGACGCATTATTGCGTTAAGGAAGCTTTTGCAGAATAGCTCAGTAAATAATAACCAAAGCTAGACAGTAATAATAATTGGTCTAGTTTGTCTTATTTACTAGCGAGTAAATAAATCTAGTTGATTTAGGGCCCATTCGGTGATGACGCAATAAGTGGCCTGTCTACGAGTGCAGGGAAAGTGCAGCCACTTTCGTGCTGGGCCGATAAGAAGTTGTTCCGTGGAGGACCGCGGAATTGTGTTTGTGTCCATTGGAGTCGACATTATGTGAGACAACAACGATATAAGTTATATTCTATCAAAACAACGAAAATAATAATTATGTAAAAGAGTTTTGATTGGTTTTTAAAATGAATTCTGGCAATTATATCATACTCTCAAATAATTGAAATCAAAGCTATTAGTGATTCGTCAAGTACAAATGTAGTCCTAAACCAAGCACATCAAAGAATACACATTTTTATTGCAAAATAGAATATATTGCAAGTACATAAGATGCTGCGTACTTAGCATAATATGCTGTCGTCTGTACAACACTCATAGTTATGGTTTACTCATAAAAGTGTTTTAGATACTACTTACAAAAGTCATACTATCTTAATGGCCGGTAATTATTACCGATACAATTCGACACCTATGGAAAGGTGGCTTAAGTGCAGTCCAATTTATTTTCAATCGTATCTACTTAGCTGTATTGGATTATTTCTGTAGCAATCATCGTAGAAATTGCCTTTTACCTACTAATATCAGAAAAGTACATCTTTAAAATCGTTATTATTTACAATTAAAAGGCGGCTACCAACCGGTCATTAAGGAAATCATTGGGGGAGGCCTATGTTCAGCAGTGACGTCCTATGGCTGAAATGATGATGATGATAAACGTAGTTTGGCTTACCTTAATGGCGTTCCTGACGAATTCCTTCCTCCGCTCGCGGGAAGCCACCATGGGTGAGAAGCGCGTGGAGCCTTCATTCCAGCCTCCAATGGCCAAAAGGGTCTTCAGGTTCTTGTTGTACGTTTTCAGGCCAGTGAACTTGGCGTAGCCACCTGTGGACAAAGTTCAATCAGTAAACAAGTCACAAATTCTTAGGTCGTATGGACGAGATCTAAGATGTGATTTTGTTCATGACTTTATTTTATTTTTGAAATAAACACCTAAAGTCAACTTCAGTTCAGTGAAAGCTTTAAAGGTTTGCTTCGGACCTCTTTAAGAGACAAATCCGGAAAGAAATCATTCAGCACAAGACCAAAAAATTGACAATAACTAGTCTAAAATATAGTTGGTTAAAATGACTGGGGTTACTGGCCATAAACGGTGGACGAAGCGTATTCCTTGATCCACCTCTTTTCTGTCTCCTATGTTCTAAAAGATCTCAAGGAGACAGCTGGTAATGAAATGAGATGATGTTCGTAGATGGTGACTCTTTGAATACAGTTAAAGTCTAGTGAGGACTGTAAATGGCTGAAATGATGATGATGTAGGTAGTTAATACTGACCTTTCTCAATATCCTGGTACTTATCGAAGGGTTTGAGTGTGTTGTCCTTGGTGAAACCCCCAAAGGCGTAGACCAGATGGGTGCAGAGATAGGGGTTGATGTTCTGAGGGTTGAACCGCGCCGTGCCGGGCCGGTACACCGACCAGTTGGTGTAGTAACACACCACTCGAGGCTCGGCCGATCGTGCTGGAAAGAAAAGGGTTCATTGTTACAAAGGATTTAATGGGATTTTACGAAACTCCAAAACGGATCCACGCGTGCGAAGTCGCGGGCGGCCGCTAAATCCCGGTCTCCGAGCACGTAGAATTTTGTCCAATGACCCCAAGCTACCCATCCTTATCGCTCGCGCGTAATTATGTTGCTGTCGCGTTTGCACACTCACTGCGGGCGCCCGTCGCGAACAGTCGCGACAGCAATATAATTACGCGCGAGCGATAAGGATGGAGCTTGGGGTCATTGGACGAAATTCTACGTGCTCGGCGAGCAGACTGTAGTTGTTACATAAATCGGACAAAAGCCAGTTGGATTCGCACATGAAGGAATTTGGCCTTAAAGCCATATATTTGGAAATATACTACGTAGGTACTGCATACTCAATAGTTTATTGTATTTCACAGTGAACACAAGATATAAATTACAATTACAGTTTTGAACAACTAATAACTTATCATAACATATAAAACGTGTTCAGCCTTGTCACTAATCAAACGTTCGAGTTCAATCCACCAATACAAGATGGCGGGTATTTTATTAACGGTAGAACATTAAAGTAAATAGGTACTACAGCATTATATTATTATATGCAGTTGTAATAGCCACAAAAAAGAATAGTCTAATGTGCTGGAAAATGTTCAAACATCTACGAGTATATCAGCCGTTTGGTGTAGTGGTTCAGAACGGACTACTATGCCGAGAGGTCCCGGGTTCGATTCCCGGCCGGGCAGAAATTGAAATGATGAATTTTAATTTCTGTGACGGGTCTGGGTGTTACTATTTATAATATGTATGTATTTAAGTAGTATATCCGAAAGGCTGGCACACACAACTTCACACAAGCATTAAGTTGATCTACTCATCCAGATACAAAGTTCATGCTCGTGATGCAAACATTTAACTTTTTACCAACACCAATAGATTGTTATTTCTACAAACTATTATTATCTTTTGTTTTGTCTAAAAAAATAAACTGTCATAAACAAATTGTGATTACATTACAATCCAGTTAACTGCAATGTAAATGCAACAAATCGTTTTCCATGCTGCATTACGCGTAAATTCGGCGGAACCCGGCGAAACTTAGGTCTTTTCTTTTGGATATTTGTTGCTGAAATGCTCCAATTTGGTATAACAAAGATAATTTCTCAGTGGCATAACTAAATCGTTGCGCAATCTTCACTGGACTCACGTAACCTATCACACACCTGTAACTTTGTAACACTAGATTGTTACAAATAAAGGCGTGTAAGAAGGCTCACTTTTTTAATCACTTTTTTGGGGCTTACCTAAGTCCCATTAATAATATTGAACTTAAGTATTAATCTATTACTTTTAAATAGATTTAGTACCAAATAAAGGCTGGAATTATCCTGGAATTAATTTTTGTGTTTTATTTTTTTAACACATACTGGCTACACTTATGACTAGAATCAGCAACCATAAGGCAAGAGTTTCCTTGGATTTGAATTGATTTTTGAGTTTTATTTCGTGGCTAAAATATTCTACTTAGCTATACTTGATACAAATAGTTTTACGTCTGTGATAGCAAATATTTATTTATTTATGAATAAACGGTAGTACCAATTACACTATTCAAGCAAGTAAATAACCAAGTGTTTCGTAGTAAACTTACTGTATTGTGTATGTAGTAATAGCTAGTCAATTTAAACCGATCGCCTGTTATTATATCAGCAGAAACTAGATTTTGGTGTTACTTAAAAATTACTATAACTATCGATGTAATACATCATGATATAGAATAGAGGCTAGGTATTTAATTTAAAGTTTCTTGGTTGAGACAAATTAGTTTGGTTAGTCAAATAATGAGATCACGTCTGTTTTTACACTTAGGCCCAGAACACACGGTGAAACGCAACTGCAACGAAACTGCAACTATCTGAAGATTCTGATGAATGAAACTGAAACTGAAAGTTTCAAACTGGGCGCGTCATGTGTGGTCTCTCAACGGACGCTATGGCAGAAACTTAGATGCAACTCAAAAGTAACTAGCAGTTGCAGTTTCGTTGCAGTTGCGTTTCACCGTCTGTTCTGGGCCTTACAGAAGATAACTACTGCGCAGTTTCAAATTAAATGTCAAATATCTGCGACCCATTTTTTGTTCTTATTCATATTTTAGTACATACTTAGTACAAAAAAGCGAGTTACGAGTATAGATCGTTTCATCCACGAAGATTCTTCCACTAATGTTTGAGTGTTATCGGTACACGCTAAATTATCCATGAGTGCATACGCACACTACAATAATGACGCTCGGATTGCTCGGATCAATCTCCCCGCACCCCGCGCTTCCCTCGACCAAAAATTGGTGGGGCGTGTCTTCGTGGATGAAACGATCTATACGATAAGTTTGCTCTAAAAGCTCTATAAATAGTTTTCTAAAATAAAAGAATCAAGGAATGCAATTGCAAGGGGGTAATTAGGCCAAATTTTGTACCATATTTCGTTCAAATTGGTTCAGAAATAGGATCGTAAAATGTAAATCGTAACGTAAAATGGCACGCAAGATAAGTGTGAAATCGGCGACATCGTCATCGTTCTCACTTTCATCATTATTTACGATCAATTTCGCTCTCATTGGTGTGTTATTTACATCATCATCATCAACAGCCGTTTACAGTCCACTGCTGGACTATGAGCCTCCTCCACTATAGTGGAGGGTTTTGCCATAATCTCCACGCTTGGCAGGCGGGTTGGAGATCGCAGTTTAAAAGATTGATGTTTTTCAGAGAGCGCTGCTGCCCATTCTCTGTTTGATGTGTAGTCCCTAAGTCGCCTCTTACGACACCCGCGGGAAGAGTAGGGGTTGGTGACAAATGTATTCTACTCTGCCGTCACCACACGGCTAAGCTGTTATTTACATCAGTATATTTTTTTTTAGAATACAATACCAGCTTATATTTACGAGTTCGAATCTCAATAGGGAGGGGCAAATATTAGTGCAATAAACACCGAGAATATATTTTCGGTGTTTTAGTTCGCTTAGTAATGTAAAAACATTAACGCCCGTATTCACAAACATTACTGTCAGGTCTCACAGTGCGCGTGGACGCACAGGGTGACACACGAACCAATCACAGAGCTCTATTCAACGCTGTGCGTTCGATTTGCTGCTTCACTTAAGCAAGCATCGTTTGTAAATACGGGCGTATGTCAGGGCGCTTTTACAAAAACACAAAACACAATACTATTTCTTGCACTGAGCCTATAATAGGCTAGTTTCCTTAAAAAAATTTTTTTAGTCCGTAATGTTTAATATCAAAAAATATTGGACACATATATTTTTATTTGTCAATCTAACAAATAATTACATAGTTATGGTGCGTTGAAGTTCCGCACGACGTCACAACGTGCGGCACTTTTATGCACTCATTGACGTCACGGGCCTCTTCTTATGAACTTTGGCGCGCTTTCTCTCTTTAAATTTTCATTAGTTTGAAAAAGTGAAAAATACGTGTAGAGTATTTTTTGATAAGTTAACTGACGGACTAATTAAAACTCTTGCTTTTTGACCCAGGAAACATCCCTATTAATTAACCTATGAATTTGAATTTGAATTTGAATTTGAATATTGGTTGAAATAAATAAACCAACTATGGATCAATCCTATGTTCGAGAGTTATAAGTAAGTTTCGTAAAACGCCTTAATTTGCTAACAGAAGGCTTTACATCACCAAATGATTGCAGTGTGACAAATATAGTTGCACGTATTCAAATTTAGGCGAAACCTGGAAGTAATGACCCGAACAGATGCGTTCGCTACAGCTGCTGAGCGGTGAACCGGCTGATCTGATGTAGCAATCAGATATCAGAAGTGTTGTAAATGCTTATGAAATTATCATAAATACTGAGAACAGAAGATAGCTAAAGAATTTACCGATAATGGACGGATAAAATCTATACTAATATTATAAATGGGAAAGTAACTCTGTCTGTCTGTCTTGCTTTCACGCCTAAGCCACTGAACCGATTTTGATGAAATTTGGCATAGAGATAGTTTGAGTCCCGGGAAAGAATATAGGAAAGATTTTATCCCTGTTTTTGAAACAGGACGGAGGGACGCGCGTGATAAAGATTTTCTGTGACAGACAAAATTCCACGCGGGTAAAGCCGCGGGGGCGGAAAGCTAGTAATAAATAAATAAAGAATATTTTTACATTACGCTTCTAGTCCCAAAATAAGCAAAGCTTGTACTATGGGTACTAGACAACGGATATAAACGGATAAAGAAGATGTAATTATTGCTTGAACCACGTTTGAATAAGAAGGAATTAAGGAAAAACTACTCGTAAATGGCGTTTTCTACTTTAAAATGGCAAACGTAAAAAAAACAAGTTAAAATTAAATTTAATTAAGCTAGTTTATACTAATTTAAAATTATTTATATTTTAAGAATTAATAAAAAAAGCAAAAAAACTGAAACCACCCGGAAGAGAAACAAGATGCGCTTGCGCAGAACGCGTTGATGTCTTTTGTACTACGGAAGTAAAAATCTTCAGATAGTCGTAGTGATTGAATTGTTCTAGTTTTCCTCGTTTAATGATTTTTTTAAAGTCAATCAGTAAAGAATTTAGAATACTCAATGGGCATTGGCGAAGATTATTAATTTTTACACAACAAATGTTTAAATAATCGATCCTTTTGGCGATTTGAAGGGATTACTAATGTTTGGCCAAAAAACGTTTCCCAAATTATCACATCGCAAACAACGTTTCGCAAATTTTCATTTGGCAAATTCTCATTTGGCAAAGCAACTTATTGCAAACTTTTAATTCGCAAATGTTTTTTTTGGCATATTATTGTTTAGCAAATTATTTTTTGGCAAAGTATGGTTTGCCAAATGTTTCATTAGGCAAAAATATTTCACGATAAACTATTATAAAATAATTTGATTGGTGCATAGAATGGTATACAAATTAGCTTGTGGTTATTATTTTGTTTAGTGGGTAGTTAATATAAAATTTGTTATACATTAATTACCTTATTTCAATCTTTGTATCGAAATTTCCATATGATTCATTAACAATAGAGGTGATTCTAGCGCTCGGCGGCCGCTGCCGCGGCACGCTTCGCTCGCCTTCGCGCATTAAGGGTCACTGTTCTAACCTAACCTAANTCACATTCAATGTTGCGACTTTGTTGCATATTTTTAGTATTTTGACGATCACCCGGTGATGATACGCAAGTACTACAACATTTCACTTCGCGATTAACGAGAGGTTTTGTCGCATCACTAGTTCACAGACTAAAAATATTTTTATGTCAGTTGGCCATGTTTGATGACATTTCTGCTGATTTCTAAAAAATTAGACTGTACATACAACCGAGGCCTTTTGTGGAACAATGCTTCAAAATGATAATTCAAAAAATGTATAAATCTACCCTGAAATTCTAATCCCAATGTGTGCCGTGGTGTTACAAAATGCAGCTCGTTTGTGATGCTACATACAATACAACGCACCGTGCGTGTGGGCATGTCTTCTGCACAAACTACCAACCCAAGGCCATAGTAGTAGTAGTGGTGTGGGCTCACAATCGCTCATTGTGTTCTCTTGTTTCGCGTCGCAGCCTTATTGCAGCCTCTTAATTAATGATAATTAGACACGGGTATCAAAGTTTGTTTTGGTTACTTTGATCAAGTGTTAATGAGAACTTTTCTAACAACTCTATGCAAATATGTATAAGTTTTTTTTTAGTTTTACATCAAAAATGCTATCAAAGCCGAAGACAATAATCGTAGGTCAAACTATATATTTTTGTTGCAATCTATAATGCATTTAATGTATGTATAATCATAGTTGTAAGTTGTAATAAACATAAGATTCCATAGTGTTAACCACTATAAGATTAAAGTAGTTGTATTATGTGTTAGTTTATAAGATTAAACTAACACATAATACAACTACGATTATAGAAAATGCAATGTTGCTTATTTTAAATAAAATTATGTTATTTTCATTTACATATTTTAAGTTACTGTTTATCTGCCAAGTAGCCTAACATTCTAAATAAGTCACAGACAATTAATTTTAAACAATATAATAGTTACCCTATGAATCATTGATGAAATCATAGATGATTCATCAAGGGACCTTAAGACAATGTCTTGTAGACCTATGTAGCGTAGTGAAAGGATTTACTATTTAAACTAGGTATAAATAAATAATACTATTCTATGTATTTACCTGGTGTTGCTAGGGCGATGACGGCTATGACTAATGATAGCCATGTTGTGATATTCTGTGGACAAAAAAACATATTTTAGTATTATGTAAGTAAAAAATAAGGATTTCAGTTAACATAGGTATAAGATTAAGTGATGATTAGCCTGAAGAGCTTTTAAAATGCCCATTTTCACCATCAATCCCTAATTTTTAAGTAACACATAATAGGAATTTTGTTTTCATAGGGGTCACTTAAAAATTAGGGATTGATGGTGAAAACAGACATAATTCAAATAAACTGTCTTCTCACCTAAATAATCTGTAAAATCTAGATGGTGCTCCATATGTTACAAAATTTAAAATTAGCTACTTAAAATATAGGTATTTATTTTATAGATGTCAGTAACCTACTATAAAGTAAATCTATCTATCTATACATAATATCTATTCCTCGTAATTGCGGTCACCTATAATATTAACAACATTTATGTGCTACACATTTTGTAACTAAAAAGTAGAGTACAAAAACATCAATTAAAGTTATTAATCTTACAGCAAACAAAACAAATCGTTCAATTAAGCACACGAAACTCGTCACGGTTGCGTCATCAAGTTGTCAAGCTGCCATCCTGATTTCAGATTGCTTTTAATTGTAATTAACAGTTACAAGTAGTGTTTTTTTTATGTGACAGGAGGCAAACGAGCAGACGGATCACCTGTGTGCCTACCATGAGTTTACGTTAGGTGAGCTCGCTAGCGACTACGTAAAAAAATGACATTAATTGTATGATATATTGTGCAGCGCCCCTAGCGGCTACTTTCAAGAAACAAAATCTTCATAGAGATCAAGCACACCTAACGTAAACTCATGGTAGGTACACTGATGGTAAGTGATTATCGTCGCCCATAGACACCCGCAGACCCATCCATACATACTAGGGTGGTCCTTATTTTTCGACTTTTGAATTCTCCCCGGGACACTTTCTCATTCGATTATATACCTACCTCTAAATATGAAATTAGCTTTTTTTGTTTTTTTTTTTGTTAAGATTTAGAGGTCGCTACCAGCTGTCAAAATATTTACAAAAAGCTTTGAAGATCTTAAATCATGGTTTCATAAATGTTTTATTTAAGTGTTTATATCACATTTTAGGTGCAAATGAACATCGCATAGATAGAATAGACAATCGCTTCTTGTCCCCTTCTCCCCTCAATCCCTCTTCTGTACCGACCATGGTACCGACGCGTCGAGATACTAACAAGTAAACTCTTATATCTTAAAAATAATTGATTCAAATGTACATTGTACATAATATCTTAGTTCATAGCAACAAAAAAATTTTGTAATATTTTTATTTGGCTTTGGCTAAAAATAAATGAATCTAACAAATACAGATTTTGTGTTTTTACTTAAAATTCAAACCTTGGTAGCGACCCCTAAATGTCTTTTAAAAATTAAAAAAATAATAATGAAAGACTTTCGTATGGTATATATATATTCAAATTACGTGGTGCCCCGCAAAATAAAAGAAAAAAAATTTTTTTCCTAGGAATAAGGACCACCCTAATACATACCCATACATGCATACAGTTTTACGAGTATGTATGAACTTCTTTCAGCGTTTTCTTATTAGAACGAGTTTTATTTGGGTAATAAATACACACAGAATGTCCCAAAATTAGTACATCAAACTGACAACGGAGGTATATGGACTCAAGACGCATCGATCAACTCAATCAGCTCCATTTTAAGAATTCACTAAAATGGTCTTATTAAAAACTCATCAAACATTCATATTAACATGAATAACTAAAATTAGGCTGAGTTGCACCAACTTATTTTAGCTATAATGGTGCTTTTTGTAAAATTTTAACAGATTTTTGACGTTCGTTAAAGTTAAAGTATGATGGTGCAACTCAGCCTTAGTCATTTCTCATCATCATCATCATCATCTCAGCCATAGGACGTCCACTGCTGAACATAGGCCTCCCCCAATGCTTTCCATGTTACCCGGTTGGTAGCGGCCTGCGTCCAGCGCTTTCCTGCTACCTTTATGATGTCGTTTGTCCACCTTGTGGACGTCCCATGCTGCGTTTTCCGGTACGCGGCCTCCAATCCAGAACCTCATGAAACTTTTCTATGCCATAATATTAGGTTGTTGGATGTGTCTTAGGTCCAGCTATTTCCGTTGTCAATGTGACTAATTTCGGAACATTCTGTATAATGGTTAACCTGAAATGGATCCCAACAACAGAATAGGTTGTTTCTATTATTTTCTTCTTCTTGTAGTTTTATGATAATATATTGTTTTAAACTTTCATGGTCACTAATTTAATTACTATAAAATAAAACTGATGGGATTGCTAACATACCATGTACCGTGAGATGTTATGGGCAGACCCATAACATCTCATCCGCAAGTTTCCTCAGTTACTCCGTAACCATGGCACTTGCAGCAGTGCCGAAATATCGGAAACTCAAAATTAGGGTACATGGTAGCAATCCCGTCAGTAATAATAATTATATTTTATGATAGATAGATGAATGGCTTTTAATTATTACTGCCACTCTTATTTTACTATCACTTTATTACCCATTGTCAAAGCTCAAAAAACTCAATGCCTGGGACTTCCATTACACGGCTATGACCTAACATTGTCAACTCGCCGCACACAGAGACATAGCCACAGTATTTATTAAGTTCAATGTTCAATCAGTATCTCTTATTCGTTATGTATTTTTTATGCCACTAGCTTTTGCCCGCGGCTTCACCCGCGTGAAATTTCGTTTGTCACGGATCGTCATAAATTATAGCCTATATGTTATTCTGGGTTATCTATCTATCTATACTTATAATAAATCTGTAGAGAGGTCAATTCTGTACATTAAATATATTTTCAAAATAACTATCAGGGGGTGATTAGTGATCGATACTGATGCCAAAAATGCAATCAGTAAAATTTTTGTCTGTCTGTCTGTCTGTCTTAACGAAACTTGGTACAATTATTTTTCATACTCCTGGGCAGGTTATAGGATACTTAGGAATTCCCACGGGAATGGGAATTAGCGGGAAAATCGTTTTGTATGAAAAATCTGAACCGCTTAAGTTAGACGCTTGAAATTCGGCATGCAGGTACCTTAGTAAACTTAAAGCTTAGTTACAACAGGATATTGCAAAATTCCCACGGGAACGGGAGTTAGCGGGAAAAAACATTTGTATGAAAAATCTAAACCGCTTAAGTTAGACGCTTGAAATTTGGCATGCAGGTACCTTAGTAAACTTGAAGCTTAGTTACTACAGGATATTGCAAAATTCCCACGGGAACTGGAGTTAGCGGAAAAAAACATTTGTATGAAAAATTCTAAACCGCGTAAGATAGATGAAGGGGGTAAAACGGGATCCACGCGTACGAAGTCGCGGGCGGCCGCTAGTAAACAATAATACTGTAAAGTTTCATCAAAATCAGTTCTGTAGTTTTTGCGTGAAAGAGTAACAAACATCCAGACATCGTGACATCCAAACATCCAAACTTTCGCAATTATAATATTAAGTAGGATTTATTATGCCATGAAAACAAAAATGAGATATTTATATTTTTATAACATTTCTATTTCATACTAGCGGCCGCCCGCGACTTTTTACGCATAAACCCCGTTTTATCTCCTTAGGGGTGAAGTTTCGAGTTTTTTCCGGAAATTATTCAAATTTTTCTCGCCGTAAAAACCATCCTTGGACTTTAACGAATATTAGAAAAAAAGAATTAGCAAAATCGGTCCAAGCGTTTTTGAATTATGCGCTTACCAACACATTTTGCGATTCACATTTGCACGAATGTAAATTTTATTATTTACGTAGTTTTAAAATTAACAAATTAGAGATTAAGTGTAAGTATTTTATGGGAAACATCTGAGTTAACAAAAGGTTCATGACAATTCTGCTATTTTTCTCAATAAGGTAATTTTATAAAGTATTTTAAAAGTTATCTCCTTTCTTGCAGGCCGCTACCAACCGTGCGATGTGGAAGGCATTGGGGGAGGCCTATGTTCAGCAGTGGACGTCCTGTGGCTGAAATGAGGATGATTTTAAAAGTATCCGTTATACTGCACTTCCTGTATACTATACCCACACAAACGTAATAAAAGACGTAAACACACACTGTCATTTCCCCTGTAATTGGACAAGAAAGACCGTCCATTGTGCATTGTTGCATACACAATGCGCTTTTGAAACGCGCAAAAACGACGCGTGCGCACCTCGCTCGTACGATGTAAATAATCTATGGGATGAGCTATTTAATTTTATGTCAATTTGTTTGGTTCATTTATTAAGGTTATAGAAAAGTATATGTTTTACTAGCGGCCGCCCGCGACTTCGTACGCGTGGATCCCGTTTTACCCCCTTCATCTATCTTACGCGGTTTAGATTTTTTCGTACAAATGTTTTTTCCCGCTAACTCCCGTTCCCGTTGGAATTTCGCAATATCCTGTTGTAACTAAGCTTTAAGTTTACTAAGGTACCTGCTTGCCAAATTTCAAGCGTCTAACTTAAGCGGTTTAGATTTTTTATACAAAAGGATTTTCCCGCTAATGCCCGTTCCCGTGGGAATTCCTAAGTATCCTATAACCTGCCCAGGAGGTAACTAAGCTTTAAGTTTACTAAGGTACCTGCTTGCCAAATTTCAAGCGTCTAACTTAAGCGGTTTAGATTTTTTATACAAAAGGATTTTCCCGCTAATGCCCGTTCCCGTGGGAATTCCTAAGTATCCTATAACCTGCCCAGGAGTATGAAGAATAATTGTACCAAGTTTCGTTCAAATCCGTCGATTAGTTTTTGTTTCTATAAGGAACATACAGACAGACAGACAGACAGACAGACAAAAATTTTACTGATTGCATTTTTGGCATCAGTATCGATCACTAATCACCCCCTGATAGTTATTTTGAAAATATATTTCATGTACAGAATTGACCTCTCTACAGATTTATTATAAGTATAGATTTATAAAATATCCGTTTTTTTTTTACAGAACTTTCAAACTTGCGGCTGTTCGTTTGGGAGAATATTTCGGTCCCAA